AGTGTCTCTGAGCTGTTCCTTCACTGCTGAGGCTCCACCAAGCTCTGTGTGCACCACAGTGGCTCAGGGCAGCCATCTGGTGATGACCACGGTCATCATCTTCTAAAGAAACCAGGTGAGTGATGTAATGATGGTGGCAGTGCTGTTAAACTGAGGCCAGAGCCTCCTCCCACCCGTCTGAGCTGACCTGAGATGGCACCTGGTTTTACTTGGTCAGTACACAGCACGACCTCAGATGGGCTCTTGCATAATAATAATTAATTTAGTCGTTAGAGACATAATTTTCAATGTATCCAAAGTGTTTGTATCCTCATTAATGTGGTAACATAACTATTAAAGCCAGAGAAATGTAGTGGCATTCAAGACATTACCATCATGCTTATTTTTGTGTTTCATCTCATGTTTCTTGCATATTCAAAATATTTAGGGTTTGATTTTTTTTTAAATTTTTTTTTTTTGTCTTAAATGGGATTTGGCTCCAGCATGCTGTGAGAGGATGCAGGTTTCTGGCTGGAGGACTGCAAGGGCTTTCCTTCCCCACTCTAAGTCAAGGTATTCACCCTCTCTGGCCTGTGAACAAATGCACTCATCATATTTGTTCCCTGCAATTGATTAGAACAAAACAGGTGCTTTTAGATTCTAATGCACATCTTTGCAATAAGAAGCATGAGGGCTCTTGCTTTGAAATAAAATAGGCTAAGAGAAAGTCACCAGTTTTAATTAATAATGCAGGGGATATCTTGGCTCTGGGCTCATCCCTGCAAGATGCTGTCTCCAGGTTTTGAACCTCCCTGGGACCGGAAGGGCAGGAGGGATGTGTTGAGTCACTGAAGGACACCAGGCTAACTAAAAACCACACTAAGAAAACCTCAGTGCAAGATGCTGGGAGAGGTTTAAGGATCCAAGATGTATGCACAGAAACTGCTGGAAAGGATCCTGCCTTCTCCCGGGACAGCCCCTTCATCAGCAGCATTCACAGTGTGAGGGCCCATTTCACCTCTCTGAGAGGGGGTAATTATTTCTTGTCAGTTAGACTCAATCACTGAACTCTAAACAGCTGGTGGTAAAGAACCATTAGCCTCATTTACTGCGGTGATAGCCTTTTAGCTCTTCCACATTTCACACGGTCTCTGCCATTTCACCCATAAATTCTCCTTTAAAAAAAAAAAAAATCATAAAAATTTATGAGGGGAAAAAAAAAAGGCATGAAATGGAGGCAGCTAAGAGAAAAGGTACTAAAATTTTCAAATGAAGATGAGGTTATGTACCCCCAGCTGTTTGGAGTGCAGTGATTGAGGGTCTCGCTGATGAGGGATGATTACATTCCTCCTGCTCCTCGCCCCCATTAAAGGCAACATGCATCCTCCCTCTGGATATGGCTGATTAACAGTGGCACAGGGAGGACCCGGGAACAACCACATCTTCCCTCTTACGATGTGATCCATGAATTTTCCTCACCTTAGTGAACGAACACAAGCCCCTTCCAATAAGCCAGCAGCTCTAAACAATCTGAAAGGTTCACAGCAGTAGGAACTGTGCATGCCACTTTGCAGAGAGGCCTGTTTGTGGCTGTATTTAAGACGGAGAACATATAAAGAAATTATCTCCTCATTCAGTTAACTGGGGTTCGGCTTCCAGGACTGGTTTTGCCACACAAAAACCCAGGCTAGAAATATGGGGTTCTCAAATTGTACCCAGTTACTTCCCTCTGACTCAGATCTTGCATCCAGCTACTGTTTGCAGAAGCCCCAGTTTCAATAATAATGTTAATAATGATAACAATAATAATTTTTTAAAAAGCAAATGATAGGAAGTGACAAGGAACAGACTGGTATCAGGGGCGCTGAATATCTACAGAGAAATCTTAAATCCACCCTGGAGCAAATTCACAGCAGCACTTCTATTTTACCGAAGCACGAAGTAGGAAGGATTCAGTCGATGAGGGTTCAGAGTGCTAGCTGCAATTTGATTTGCTATCCAGTTCTCTTAAAGTGTTAGAATTCAAAAAGGTATTATAATTTTTTAACAATCAGACCCCACTAGTGAGCTGGATTTTGCTTGCCTGCAAAATACTCAATGCCAGCCACCACTACTGACATAAATATTACCAAGAGCAGCCTATGCTCACCAGTACCTGACCCAGGACCATTTAGGTCTGTGCAGCACTTAATAGACACTGCCTATTTGTGAAAATTCCCCAAATTCCTGTGATGGATATTGGAAAAATCAGCTTGAAGACCCTGCTGTCCTCTGCAATGAGGGCTATAGGAGCAGCCAGGCATCCCAACCCCCTGAACACCTTTTGAACCTTATCAAAACAAATGGAACTGCTGACTTCCACTTTTTTATTTGAAGCTTTTAGCTATTTCCCCAGTTCTCGAGTTAACTAAGGCTGTGGAAGGCACCTGACTCACTCCATAGACAAATGAAGACAAAAGCCTCCAAAACCCCCTCCCTCTGTTCTTACTGGCTTTTGCAAGTGGAGGCTGTGTGATGGTGTACAGGAATACCACAGTTTCAGAAGACACACCCTAATTTGTCTGAGACCCAGGAAAACAGGACTGGAAAAGGCTGTGGGGCTATTCAGTCCATCCTCATGCTGTCTTAAAATCCTTCTTAGAATCCCCTCAGCAGTAATTTAATGAAAAGGTTATTAATTAGGTAACAATCAGTGAAATACTGGACTAGAGCCAGAAGAAATAGAAATGCTTAACTTCCAAGTCCTCTCCAAAGCATCCCCAATGCCGACCACATCTCCACAGAACGATTTTCCTGGTCATCATCTTTAATTTTTCACCAGTTGAAGGCATACCTTCCCCTGGGATCTTTCCAGAGCAGCATGGATGGGTGAAACTATTTTATGTATATTCAGCAGTTACCAGAATTGACATCTGAAACCAAGGAGCAGTGGCACCGTGTGACCAGTCAATTCCCATTGACCCCAACTAAGGATGTCTTCTGTAGCTTAGGCCCTGGTCTTTGAAAGGCTGAATGTGTAGAGCAAAAGCAGAGAAAATCTTTGAGAGCTGAACCATTCAAAAAACCTTCGCAAAATAAATATTCATGGAGTGTTTCCTCTTAGGGCAGTAGGGAGGTGGTTGATTGGGTTGCTATTTTGAAGTCCAGCACTAAATCTTCATACTTCACATACACATGCTAACAACTCAATTCTGGAAGTGCCTCAAGCATCCAGCCTAAAAAGGCAGTCGTCTTTTTTCTCTTAGATCGCCACATCTGCAGATCAGGTATCTGCAGTTAATTCACTGCTCTTCTTCTTTTCCCAGTGACTCTCACAGAAAAAAACCCTTATTTATTAATACCAGAGTGCATGCTCTTGCACTTTGCAAGATTAAATTTAACCTCACCTCTATTATTCTAATTCTCTAGTTCATCCAATTCCTCTAAGATACTCCAACCCTACTCCTTTTCTGAGCCCTCCCTCATCTGTCTCCCAACACGCTTTGGTGAGCACAGCCAACTCTTCCTGCCCAAATCATTACAAATTAATTAAGGTCAATAAAGACCAATTTTTGAAGCACTCCACTAGGCATCTCAACGTTTGATTTTAAAGCTTTATTTGTACCTCCCTTGGTCACTCCCTTTCCATCCCTTCAGTAACCAGCCTTTAGCCCCATTGATTTCCTCCATCTCTTTGCAGTTGTCCGCCTTCCAGTTCTCAAACCACATCCCTGCATGAATCCTGCAATCTTACACAATGACAAGTTCATCAGCAGGACATCTTAATTTCTAAAGATCACAGACTTGTATGCCCAACCCTTACCTGCATTCTCAAAAAGGGAGCTTGTGTTTCCCCCGTGGTGTGCAATGGTCAATACATTCAGTTTATGTCGAGTGGACTGCTAGGTCAATGCTCAGTAGTGCATCAACTTCGCTAAAACACAAATTCCTGCCCCAAGACTACAGATCAACCGAGGTAGGGAAAAAAGGCACAAAGAAAGAAGGAGACAGAAGTCACCAAGTGTCGGGTTTGACGGGTTTTGGAGAGGTTTACTTTGGTTGGAGCCTTATCTAGAGGAGGAGACGTGAAAGAGGCCACGCCGCAGTCAGATGGATATTTACACTGTGCTCCTACTGTTAATTCAAAACAAAATCACAAGTTGGAAACTAAGCTGGAACTTTGTAAACAAAGACAGTTATCCCTATTGGCTCACTATTTAAATCACTGCATCAGAGGCATTTTTTATACCTTGATGGGCCTTCTAAGGTCATGGCATTGCTTGTCACTACATGTCCTCTATCAGGGCAAAAGCAGAACAAACAGCTTGGGGTATCATTCATGTGTCCCCAGGTAATGATGTTCTCTTGAGATCTACCCCCAGTAATGATGTGACATGTCGGTAATGCTTCCCTGGAAACGCGTATGCTGGATCACAGGTGCCACTTCCAGCGATACCAGGACAACAGTGGGACTTTTTACATTTAACTTCGTGAATAATTTTTAAAAACTACTAAACCCCCCCTACCCCTTGCACTAAAAAGTGCAAGACAGCTGATTCTGACCTCTTTTCTTGAGACACAAAAGACCAGTGGAATTAGCCTCCATTTATGTTGATATAATGTGTTCAGAAAGCAACTGATGGTGGCCAAACTGAGTTTGGCAAGGGCTTCTCTTTATGTTATAAATTAAGATGGGCAATATTTGAAAGTAGAGATCTTTTATTACACATGTCAGTATGGCTAAAAAGCACAAGAAAAACTTTTAAGCTGACAAGTTTTCCTCCTATACGAATGTTACAAAATCCTTCTTAGGCTCCAGACCCTTTAAACTAGGCACACAAACACAAGTCCCTTTCACCATCACTTATCCTCAACCACTTTCGTTTCCATCCTTTGCACAGCTGTGGAAGAACCCCATGCTATGATGCTGATGTAAAAGTAGAGGTCCAGAGATGTTACCATAATAAAAATGGTAAAATAATCTGGCATATGAAGCCTTTCTAAAAAAGTCTGAAGTTAAAGCTGTACACCAAGCAACAATGTAAGAACTTATAAAAATCAAGTTTTATTGACATATTTTAGGTACAATAAACATATTTACATGTTCACATTTTAAACACGGAATTACATGTAATAAAAGAAAGCTTGTACATGAGATCATCTTTGTGTTTCCATTTTTACATTCACTTCAATAGGTGTGACAGAAAGATCTCTTATGCAAGCAGAGGATTTCGTAAAGTTCAGTATTACACTCAGAAATTAGCAGTCAACACCTTGTGCGGATGATGCCGTAGAAAACATGAGGCAGACGCACTCCCAGTGGAGTCAGTATGACAGAGTCGGGCTGCTGAATTTATATCCTGAACTGCCAATAAACAAACTCTGCAATCCAGATTAGAGCAGTACACTTGAAATGATTCTCAAAGCACCCAGATATATATACACTGCTTAAGACTTTACAGGTTAGGAAGGATCACATTCAGTAATAGTAATAGGAGGTAGAATCGTGTCGACAGTGTTCGTATTTCTACGTGGCAATAAGAAAAAGTGCTATTACTATCACTGAATTCAAGAACAGAACTCCTGGAAAAGTGAAAAGGATAAAAGAGTTGTTAATCCTGTTACCCTGTCTTGTCACAAATGCTAAAGCATGTAAACAACATGTTTAAATTCTCCAACACGGGTAAAACTGCAAAGCAAAACTGTTAAGTGATGCTTCTCCAGTGCTCTGGGATGGGCAGCATCTCCTAAGATGTGATACCTGTACAAAAACAACTTCAACTTCATACACCACAGTCTGCAAAGGAAAGTACAGAATGATGGGCTTTCAGGGTAGGAGATCTAGGCTTCAGGAACACTAAAAGAGCTGAAAGAACGGAAAAGAGAGCAAAAGATCGAATGCACTGCACACAGACAGGAAAACATCCAGAGAGACAGAGTGAAAAGAGCAGGAACAGAACAAGGATACAAATATCCTTGAGGGAATGGAAAAGTGGGGGCAAATGAGATGGAAATGAAGTAAAGCACAGGGTAGTGGGCAAAAGGTACCACAGGAAAAAAGAAAGTTGACTTATTCCAAGGGATCTTTTATCAATAAAATTGTATGCAATGGTAACAGATGATCAGCTGTGAATAAATGAGAGTTAGCATCTTGTCTTTGCTGTAAGTGAAAATCTCTGTTCATTAGAAGTTAAACTGTTGAAAGACGTTTCATCATCTGAAAAAGAAAACCTGCAAACAAATGGTTTTGTTATTCTAGAAAAAGAAGTAAAACTCTAAGGTGTTCCAAACTCAGCCTGAGGGACACTAGGAAAAAAATACAATGCATATTAAAAACCACTAGATGCACACAAAGAAAATCCTGAACAAACATAACATTAACACAGCAGTGTTTGAAACTGTGATCTTCCAAGTGACTACACACATTGCAATACAGCTACATTTAACTGTACACATTTTACTGTACACATTTTACTGTACACAGATTCTTTTACAAAAAATATTTGTAATCTATAATACTGTTTAAAATTTAGATACTAAAAACTACTTAACCCAAGTGCTGTTACATTAATAAAAGCCATGTAACCTGTTGAAAAAGTGTTTGTATAAAGCCCATTTCCAGTTAGTTAGAAAAATCAGTGCATCCAACCAAGAAAGGAGTGAGCAACACAGGCACCTAAAAGACCCCATGCGATTAACTTTCCCCTTGAGGTTTTCTTTAGTGCAAAAAGGACCACACTTTCCACCAAAATATGCAGAGAAGTAGAAGATGGAGTGTTTTGTTTAGTTTTTTTTTTTTTTAATTTAAATTAAACACCCCAACCCTGCCAAAAGTAGCGTTATAAAGACCAAAATGATCCTTCCCAACCATATTATACCAGAAGCTGGCATACGCAGGGATCCAATATGAATCTGTTTTTGTACACGAGCCCCTGCGCTCATGTGGATAATAAGTCATCTCCATGATTAAAAAACCAGGTTACAAAAAAACCTTACAGAAAATCCTTAGGATTTGATACTAATCGAAGGTAAAATACTTTCAAGTATTATGTTTATGAATTAATTAGAGTATAAGGCATGATTTAAGGTAACATTGAAACAAAAGGCCTCTGTTACCCTAAATGACCTTTATAATATAGCTAACTTTCTGCAATCTGTTTAGGATGTGTTTCCTTTACATTTAATTTCTCACCGAACACGCTGCTAAAAAAAAAATTAAAGCACAAAAAAATGCATTAAAAAAAAAAGGGTTTGTGTGTCTCTGAACAAAAATGCCTTTTTGACAGCAAACAGGTGAAGCCAGATTTCTGTTTTCGAGCATCATGACTCGAGTATCACAGACACAGTACTACAGGAAGGACAAGCACAACACAATACTATGCCAGAGAACAAATCCAGGGTATCACTTAAGTAGACAAAACAAAAAAGCCAAAAAAAACCCTCAAAAAACAAAAAACCAAAAACTCAAGAAAAGAAACCCCTCAGCCTCCCACCCACCCTCTCACCCCAACTACAAGGGCAACACACCCACACACACATACAGACACGCAGTTACTGTGTGTAGTGACAGGAAGTGCCTACAGCAGCTTCCAGGGAAATTGCATAATTTCAAGATAAACAGATAAAGGATACCATATTTTAAAAAAGATTTAAAAAATCAGCACCAAGTAAAAGGTTTTTTCTTATACCAAGTAGCTAATGCTAAGAGAAAACTTGAAGACCCACCCCCCCAAGGTTATTCTGAAATAACCTTCAATTCTCATCTATATCCTCCCAGTGGAAACCTAACATGGAAGAATTTAAATGTTCAGCCTGCTTGGCATTTTAATGGCTAGAAGGACTTTCTTACAGAAGTTTGGAAATCTGAAATGAATCTTCAGATTTAAACTAAGGGAATAAAAAACTAGGCGTCTGAAGATACCATACAGACTGGGTGCTCCTATTTACCCTTCTTTCCCAAAGTCACCCTTGACACACATGTGGGCTGAGAGCAGTATCCCTGTCTAAATTTATTCTCTGCCACTGCTCAGAGAGGAATGTTTGTGTGGCAGCTCCTCTGGCTACGAAGATGCTACAGACCTGCCCTCCTCCTCCTCCTGCCCAGCACCACCAACCCCGAGCGTTTCCAGCACTGCACATCCCTCCATCACACAGCACATGTGCCTCACCAGTTGCCAATATTGAGAGGAACTTGCTACATAACCAACCAGAGTTACGTGCAAAACCAAAATATCCCAAACTTTTGAGAACAACATTACACGACAGACCCAATTTGTACCTGTACAGCACAATGGAACACACCTACAAACCCCAGGCCTTGGTCTGACAGTGCACTGTATTTCCCCTCAAAAGTTAAAGGACAGAGTTGTCTTAGGGTTTTTTTTTAATAAAACAGAAGTAGAACATTCTACTAAAATACCACAGAACATATGGGTAATCCAATCTTTTAGTCAAAGCAAAATATGATTAATTATAAAGTGAATTTTCCAGTGCTACAAGATGGAAACAAAATAATTTGGGGAAAAAAACCAAAATGGCTTCATATAACCACCTACTGGAGTTGCCTATTAAAATAATTATAAAATTATGCTAATAAAAACTGAACAAATAATACACAGGTCAGGATATATGTATTGACTTACTATCATCTTTATAAAAATTTGAAGATATACACAAAAACACATCAACATTTATGGAACTGTATCCATTAAACTTGGATAAGACAACACAAAAAAACTAACAAATAGCTAAGATGTGGTTGACTGTAAGCACTTTGAGTAACATTTTAATTTTAAAAGATTGATATTTACATACTACATCAAATGCCTTTTTTTTCTTTCCATTTTGCATCGTATTGTGAGTTTCATGATAAAGAAAGAACAAGATAATGGTTGCAACAGATCTTCCAAGAAAGTTAACTTAAGATGCTCAGATTTATCTATGTGCTGGGAGAGAACATGGCAAGAACATGTCTGTCTAGCTTTACCTCTACTTCCTTTGGGTTTTTTTGGGAGGAGACAATAAACGGATCTAAAAGAGCTGTATCATCCAGTTTTAACTTAGGATTTGAGAACTAAGAGAACACAAACATTTTAACAAATGACTCACCTAATTGCTACTTTTGCTACTGAGGTTTTTTTAAGATATTAGAGAGATATGGTGACAGCAGAGGGTGTATGTATGTATGTGTATAATAAAACAGATATAGACATACATACATATAGTATGTTTACATATAGTAAATATCCAGGTACTGCAGTAAGCAGCTAAATTAAACCCCAGCAATCCACCCCATACCCTGTCTATGCACAAGCAGTAATCTACTGCAACTGCTGTTAAAGAGGATGCATCTAGTCATTAAACAGGCATTGCTTATGTCACTCCTACATTTAAATAGATCTGAGGCCATTTCAAGTCTTTATTCCAAAGCCACACATTTGTCTCAAAAAAAGAATTAAAAAAAAAAAATAAAACCCCACTGAATAAAAATTTTTAAAACTTAAGTTGGCTGAACCTCAACCTCTTTGGGATGGATTCAAAACCCAAAGCAGGAGCGTTTCTCCAAACTTCTTTGACTTTTGAATCAAACCCATATTCTTAGGCTCCAAGAAACCCTCTAACCCCAATAACATTTGCTTATGACAGGACAGCTGATCAACTGCAGATGTTCCTAGTGCTGAACTCAGCTGCTGGCCTGTCTGGTGTTTGCATCTAACCCAGATTTCCAGACACGCACTACCATCACTCCACTCTGAGATGTCTTCCCACTCTTCTCATTGCAGAGAAGCTTCTCCCTGACAGTGTAACTGTTTAATGACTTGTTTTAAAGAAAAGCATTTATTTCTTAAGAACAAAAATTACACAACCTGGGGAGGCAGTGTAGAGGTCCTAGAGCTGACGGTGTGAGGAGTTAAACAGCTTGGGCCTTGTAGGTCTTCAGGGTCAGGTCCCACTGGGCAATTCCTGCCTGCAGCTCATGCTCTGTCCTGGGCTTTGGTTTACCCTGAAGCACTAACAGCACTTTATGTATAGTAGCTGTGTTGGCTGTTATTAAGCTTTATGCGTAAATGGTGAACTATACAGGTGGGTGTAAACCTCACTTCCATGAAAAAATTCCCATCATGTTACTGGGTCTCGTTATTAAGTTGTAAATGGACTTAGGGTATTCTCTCAACCGTTTTCCCCAGTGCAGTATTTTCAATGTACCACGTTATTACAAAGAACAGAGAGTAGGTTTACTTAGAAGACTTTTGACAGTACTTAGTCAATCATTATTTTTGGTAACTTACACTTAATTGAAAATCTGGACCAGAAGAGTAAGAAAGCCAATTAGGCATTTGTGATTTGGTTACCACTAACTCAAAAAAAAAAAAAAAAATTTAAAAAAAAAAAATCTACAGTACTATAAATTTGCTTAGCTCATCCTTTTCCACTTGGTACACCTATTTTGGACCCCATTCATAGCTTTTTCATTACATACCAATAGTGTTCTCCTGCAGTCACTCAGGTAACAAACCTACATGGTTTCTGTAAGTGCCCCCCCTTCAAACAGTAGGTGGAGTGCTTAAGAGCATTCTTAAAATAAAGCATGAAGCAAAAGCTCATGTCTGAAAACTAAGGAAATGTTCATAAAAACGGGAATCCAATATAAAGATGACGTTTTAATAAGTTTATTCAGAAGTAACTGAAAAAACTGTTCCTTTGGCAACACCATCTAGATGGTTCTAACCAAAAGGAAATATTATGAATTTCACTTTCAGTAAAATAAAAGCTTCTTAATGTTTGCAAAGAATTTTTGGGATCTGATATGTTCACTGGGAGATTTACAATGTCCTTATAGTACTATACGTATCAGGAACAACACATCAAACCAAGTCCTTTCCGTTATGGGTTTCTTATGGTTCAGCATCAATCACAAAATAAATCTCAAAGAAAAAACCTAATCAAAATAAAGCATAAGGCAACCATGACACACTAGCCCAAAAGAACTATCAGGAATGCACCACTCCTCCTGCGTAACATTTTTTGAGTGACCCACCAAATACTTCTTTTTCCTCGTCATTTAAAACCTAATTACAACCTGGAGTTCACTACCCCACGATGCTGCTGAAGGGTGAAGATCCCTGTTTTTAAAAACCAAGGGAAAATACAGCAGTGTAATTCCTGCACAGGGTTTTATGGAATAAGTGGATTTGGAAAGAGAAGATGGAAATCTACGTTGGAATAGAAAAATGCAAAGACAGACTTATTTACAAAGATCGAAACTACAATTTTCCAGTGTCACCTCCAAAGCTTCTCGTCAAACTGCTATTCAGTGAAATAGACCACGTTCAAATCTATACAATACCTTCTGTGCTCACAGATATACAATGCAACTAACGTGTTTTGGTTAGAAAAATGAGTTTTCATTCCAATACCTTGCACTGAAGATAAGAGCAACCATTATCAAATATTCTTTGCTATGAAGAAAGTTTTTTTATCTTTCGCTGTAAACGTTCTCTCTCCAGTCACTGTGGTCACACAGTAGGATCTTGAAGAACAGTGTCTACATGCATTGAAAGCATTTTGAAAAAAAAAATTAATCTCTAACTCCATGTGGTTACAACAGAATGTGATGAAACCGAACAGAAATTCCACCTTTGCGGATCCTCTCAAACCCATCTCTTCTTGAGGACATCTCCGGGCTTTCCGTAGTTCAGCAGAGCAATCAAAGACTAAGCTGAAAGGTTTCACAACCCGATGGTTTTGCCACTGTGTCTCATGTAGCTCCACAGAACGGTTCGGTGAGTGCCAGGGCTTCTCTCAGCAGACATCACTCAACAATCAGTGCCACATTTATGTGGGACAGATCTATCATATGCCTGTTAAAAGTGTAAAGAAAATTAAACACGGTACTCAAACTGATTCTGGGGGTGGAGAATGGACAAGGAGGTTCCTCTGAAGGTCACTAATAAACAGATGCTTGATTGGATTAATGAAACATTGAGCAGTGGAGACTGATTTTATCTTTTGAAGGGAGGGAAGGAACTGAGGCGGCAGCAGCGTTTAATTATTTACCTGTGGAATTTCTGTTGAAATGCTAAAGCATGTGCTGGCTCCTTAAATTTTGCTATGGCTTTCCGTTGTTGAGGAAGCATCTGTAAACTCTGCAGAGACAAAAAGCCAAAAAGATAATAAAATAACCCCTTATTTTGCACCAAACCAATTGAAATTTTGCCATATTTCTTTTTTTTTCAGAAACATATTTCACTTCTTTTACTGGTGCCCACGGAATGGAAAGAGACTTCTGAGACTGCAGTCAGGACCCCAGCTGAAGGTGTTTGAGCTGGTGCACTAAGGAACTGTACCAACTGGAAAACCCAGACTATCACTAATTATGCAAAGATGACAGCTCTTCAATTCAATCCATACAGATGAACCAAACCCCAGAGGCAAACTCCCACCAAGTCAGAAATGTTAACTCGTCAGAGCTCTACTTCCCACACAAGCACCTGGAGTCATTTACCTGATGTACACTAAAGGATCAAGGCTTTCCATGGGTTAAACAGGGCAGAAACAGGAAAAAGTGATAGGTTTTCATCTCTCGACTGCATTATCCTCACACTGTTTTAACAAAAAAAGTGGCCAGCTTTTGACAGACACCACCACAAAACCCCAATCAAATGGATTAGGTCACCACTTCCAACTCCTCCTAGTAGTGGGAAATCATGTAATACACATCTACCAAGGCAAGTCCATCTGATATGTGCTTCTCCTGCTGTGAGAGCAGCATTTCACAATGCTCTAACTATGATAAAACCCCATATGTAGTACTGAGGTCTCCAGAAATACAGCACACCTCAGCGAGGGCTTGGGAGAACTCACACTCCTGCTCCCTGCTATAGCAGGAACTCCAGGCCAAGATGATCCCAGAGAGCAGTCCTGAGGCCTTGGTAATAAGAAGTTATCATACTTACTAAGATTAAAGTTGATACTTTGAGTTAGCACTTTAGTTAGAATAATTTTCAAAAAGACACTTTGGAAATTCGAGAGGATGAAGTTTAACACATTAAGTAGGTACACACCCAACAACCACTGAGAACATCCAGCAAGTATTCAGCATCCCAGAATACTCAGGATGGAAAAACTGTGATCCTCAAATGCCACTGCCTGTGAACACAGGCCACAGAGATTTCACAGCAACTAGGTTAACACAGATCTGAAGGCTTCAATAGCAATTTCAAAATTCCATGCCACAGTGATTCCAGTATGTCACAGAAAGTTTTGCATGTTTAATGGCCTATGCTGTGGCCCACTGAAGACAATTGTTCTGATTCAGCTTTCAGCTGTTCTACGGCTTTGGATGCAGAATAAAGAATTACTAACACTCTTCTGTGCATAAGTTTCTACAAAAAGCCAGTACATTTTTACACTGAGCTTTATATATATTTATATATGGACACACACATAAATGCATGTATACAGGCACCTTAAAACTTTTCTATATCATAACCTCTTGATGGTTAGGTATAAACATAATTTTCTGCTCCTGCATCTCGCCTGGAACTCTGCAGCATCCCCCAGTTTGGATGATTCCAGCACTGATGGTTGGTCTCCAGGATTTCTAACTTTACCTGCAAAAATTCTGTATCATCATCATCTAGACTGTTAAAAAAGTACTACAGATCTTTAGACAAACAACTTTGATTGGGAAACAACATACAACCCCACTTGTTGACACATTTTATGGGTGACATACTTTAGGATCTCTCAGTGAAAGAATTTTTAATCCAACCAACGTGTTCCCTGTTCAGTCAATCTAATGCAGCATTTTAAGCAAGACGTCAAATGCCTAGATGAAATTTGCTATTAAAATTGCCTATTTCTATCTTTTTTGAACAGGTAAGACTCTCTTGGTAAGATACTTAATTAACAAGAGCCATGGTACCTGATAAGTCATATTTCTTTGTATCTAACCCTGACAATTCAGCTTAGCCACTTTCTATAACTTACCTATCTGCGATTCTGAAGTAATTAATTTTGGCGTAGCTACCTTGCACCTTCTTGTAATTGACAGGGAACTTCCCTCTCTGCAGGAAAATCACAGATGTTTAATATTTCCATCACTCCTGTGATTTCAAAGTGAAAGCTGAGTAAAAGTTAAAGGATTCAGCAAATCTGAAAAGCATCAGCAGGTTAATTTGCATAGTATAGTTTTTGGAAAGCTGCTATGATGAAAAGGTTTAGCCAAGTCACTGCAACTTCTCAGTTTCTGAGCTGGTGGAAATGGGATTTAGATTTTAAAAATACCACTTGGCAGATAACTTTTTTTTTTTTTTAATCAGAAAGCTCTTGACACAGTTAAGCATATTTTACCAACAAGAATACACTCAGGCTGCAGGAAGCACCAGTGAAAGACCCTGGATAAAATTAATTTCTCCTGGTGGTTATCTGCTGGAGTGGGTGACAGAGGTGCTCAAGTTTGTGTTCTCCTCCCTTACTGATCTCACTTTTTTATGGTTTATAGAACTATATCTAATACACATCTTCCTGACACCACTTTGCTGTCTAGAAAAAAAACTAAGGACTAAGTCAGTCCTATCCCTGAGGTCTAAGTTCTGAAGACTAAAAATTAGTCACAGTCTTTAAATAAGATTTGGAAACAACAGACCTGTAAGAGTTGACCAAAAAAATAAAGTGTCTCTGAATTGCAGTTAAAAAGAAATTGACACTTTTAATATGAGAAAAACCTGTTTGAATGACTGAAAGGATGAATATTTCAGTGAACAGCTGGACAAGAAGAGCTGCAAAAGAACCCATGGACTCATCCTTCCAGCTGCACCCTGCATGTCCTGCTGTCACCTGCTTATCTCCCCTCTCCAGAACCACCTCCAGCCCTCCTGCTCCCAACTAACCCTCACCACCACATCAGGTCTCACTCAACTACCACAGCAGATTTTCCCAGTGCTTTATGCTCCAGACCCCCCTTGTGATCAACTGAAGAAAGTGAAGCTGTGTTTGGCAACTTTTCCCACAAGAACTGAGCTATTACTGCATTAGTATTCTTGAGATGTACAAAAGCAAAATTTCATTTTGCACTTTATACAGTCACGATGATAAATTATTAAGAAGCTTCTCAGTAATTAGCATATAAAAATTTGGTTAGAGGAAGACATTCTGGTACAGTACAGACTCATTAACAAAATTAGGCAAAGTATCTAAATATTATTATAGATAACTTATTTATACTTTCTTATGAATTAGTAAGTTTATTGACTGATTAGTTTGGGTACTCTGTTCTTACACTGTATTACTGCCTTATTTTCCAAAGGAAAAAAAAAAGGCAATCAAAACACTAAATGCATTTTTATCAGATTTAGTTTCACTGAAAGAGACAACAATACAAACAACTATGGAAACTAAAAAAATAACCCATCTGATCCTTCACTGAACTGCCTAAACATCGCCCATTACTCAGCCCAGGGTAAGGCAGTAACTTCTAGCATTCAGCATCTTCTCAATATGTAGTTACACATGCCTATACTTAAGACTAGAATTAAGGACTGCAAAACAAAGGATAAATTAACAGTACACAAACACTATTTTTGCACTTGGAAACTGTCCGAAAAATTTTAATTTAAATTGTTTTGATACAAATTCTCAGCCTCCACTGCGTTCAAACTATGGTAGCAAAAGTGATGCAGAATCACTTTATGTTTGTTTGGGTATATGATCTGAGTTGGGTATTATTTTGTGACGTACAGATTTTGAAGGGTCAGTCAGGGGAGGGAGGGAACAACTGGCCAGGCAGCCTCTGGATACCAGAGGGTTCTACCCATCATCGCCTGACTTCTCCTTTAATGGGAAGACACTCACTTTTCCTCCACAGGAGACTTCCCTGTTGCCACACTGTGCTCCACTAGAATCTCCTTCTATCATGAATTCCTAAACTGAAATATCACACTCCTCCCAAATGTCACAGTTCTGAGAAAACAACTTCATTCACATCTTCTCTTTAAGTTGACCTGCTCAGATGTTCACCAGAGGATGAAAAGCCCTTCCTGGATCCACTCAACTGTAAAGGATTGACAATACATACAATAACTTCCAAGGGATTTCAAATGACTGGTTACTTTACAGATTTGGATGTACAGATCTACTGTGCAAGCACTTCCTGATAGCAGCCTGAGATCAGAGGTATTCTGGGTGTGTTCCTGTTTGACTCTGGAAAACAGAGATTACATTCTGACATATTCCCTGCATTAAAAATAATAAACTAGTTTGAGATGAAGAAGAATATCTTATATGGAAGAGATTTAGGCAGCACAGAGCTCATACCCATCTTGACTGCCTCCTTTTTCTACTTCCCTAGAAACTGCCATGGGAAGATGCAGATCTTGGGTTGAGTGGAAAATGCAACAAAACCAGTATTTCATAATCACTCATACCTTTGATTGAGAGTTTGCCTGTAAACTGTTTTAAAACATACTATTTAATTCAACAACTTAAAAAATAATCAGCAGCTCTGGCTGTTTCTGCAACTGAACTATTACCAGTGATTAAAGTAGGAATATCATAAAAGGACCATTACCTCTGCAGAGATTTCTTTAGGTCTGCAGATCTACACTGCACTGAAATTTCTCCTTTACACACACTCTGTAATTAAATCCACACTTGTACAATATTGAAATAGCTGGTATGATTTTGGCAGCACATTAGTCTCTAATAAAGCTTCACTGCAAAACCAAGAGCCTTGAGACAAACAGCAGGATAGCCATGAGTACCACACCAAGAGATTGCTTGCAAAAAGCAAACCTCTTTGACACCAAGACTCTCAGAGGTTACACAGAGAGGAAAAAGTCAAAAGGGAGGTAACAGAGTACTGGAAGATGGAAACCAAGCAGGTAGGACTGAGACTGGAGCAAGCACTCAATTTGATTACAGGAGAACACAGGGAACGATAAGTTTCCTTCTTTACTGAATTTCTTTCACTGCAGTAAATGGACTGCCCAACAGACCACACATTTAGTCCATCGGTGAGTTTGGCATTAGGAGTGCATTCCTATGAAGCTGCTAAATAACATCTATGTAAAAAAAGTGTAAACTTTCCTAACCAACATCGTGCCCAGTGTGTGATCCAAGCTGCTCTGCAACAAGTCAAACAGCAGCACAGCAGGCACTTCCTAAACAGAATGGTCAGATTCCATTTATTCTTCCCTCCCATCAATAGATGCAGACATATTTTTATTATCCTCGCAGTCTCCTGACACCTGAAGCATCTTTCCTGGCAGTGGCAGGCAACTTCTGACTTCCTACTCTCTGCCCTCAAAAGTGCTCAGCTTTCCATCTCTGTATGCAAGAGAAGGTGAGGAGAAAGGCATCTGCAGCTCCCATACCGCTCTACAGCAAAGCTGAACTGGACAGGCTCATGCTGGAGTTGCTCTCCTGTTCCCCCAGCCCCAGGGTTGGAGCAGGACTGTCTTCTCCCACAGCTTCTGCAACAGCTCAAAATGTTTTCTCAGGCAGAAGGAGCACAGTGGTCACGGTGTCAGCCTGTGCACCTTGTGTGCTGTGCCTCATGGAGAGCCCCCCTGCTGATCAGCAGGAGCCCTCATGTTCTGGGTGTGTGCATCCACCTGTGCTTGCCATTTCCACGGATACCTCTTTAAACTGAAAACAAATTCAGCAATTTGGAACGTCAGTGCAGAGAGCTGCCTTTACCCCAGCTGAGCACTAGGTAGCACTGTCACCCTAAGAAAGCAGAGCAAAGCACATCAGATGCATTGCACTTGTTTTTCCTTTCTGAGACCACAAATGGCTAAGTAAGCAGAGGAAAACCCATATTTGTAAACTACAACTACACCAACAATCCCAACATTCTCATCATCTCTGACATACAATGGAATATCAGAGTTCTTTCCTTTTTTCTCTCTTTTTTTTTAGCATCAGAATTTATTATCCTAAGTCTTCACAAAGCAATACTGAGTTTTTGCACTGATGTTTTATGTTAGCAACCATTTGATGTAAGAAAACATAACGAAAGACGATGATGAAACACCTCCACAGAACGATCCTTCAGTACTCAAATTATCTGGAGACCTGGCAAATGTTCTAGTTTACCTGCCATCACCCTGAAAAAGTCCAATTCATCTGAAGGTGGCAATAACTCATTGAACACAAGCTTCTTTAGACAGGATAAACATTAAACCCAGATTCAAGAGCACCAAAAAGAAACCCAAAACCCACAAACATTGTTTTTCATGACCTTTGCAACTTATTAGTAATCTGCTTTATCAAGTGGTTCTGGATGGATGTGTCTGAATGTCACTGCTCCAGCACAGTCCTCAGGAGACTCCATTTTGGTGATGTGCTCAGAAATCTTCTGTACTTTCCTCCCCTTTGGAATACGTAATTTTATTTAAAACATGTAATTATTTTAGATTCAGTACTCAAATTTTCCTGCAGGTACATTATTTGTTTCTGAAAGCTTACCCTCTTAAAAAAGAGTGACAGCAAACTGTATGCTGAAAGGAGGCACTCGTTCATCATGTTGGAGTTGTAAAATGGAGCTATGGTGAAAGAGACGTTCCTGAAGCCCCTAAGATTTTCTTCCATTCAGTGTCTTGAGAATCTTAATGGTATTTTTTCTCCAACATGAATATCAAAGCAGCTTTAGTGAAGTAGGGATAAGAATAAGAGTCTTCAGTGATTAGGTGGTAGAGGGTATTTCAAAGGTTATATATGGGAAAAGATAATTTTCTCAATTTCTGGAGTATGGAAGAGAAAAATAGTGAATTTCCAACTTCAACTCTAAGTCTCCTCCACCTTCTCTTATGCTATACCCAAAACCTGATTCAAAGAACTACCATCTCAATGCAAGCTGATGGCAAAGCCGGAGCACCAAACATTATAAATTGAGGGAAGTTCTTAACTTCCCTTCCCAAGATTTGTACAAGGTACTTGTACCTTGAGAATGATACTGACATGAAAAAGCTACAAATAAAAATGCAATACTTTTTAACCCAGAAAAGCAAAGTAATCTCTTCCTCTCTGTTCACTTCATTGATAAGTTATAGACTTATTTGTGGTAAAAGTTTAGACTGTCTGTTATGCCAGCAAAGATTCACTTTCCAAGAAAACACATGCAGGACAAACACACTGTAACAAATATCTGGATATCTGGAAACAGGAGCTGGTGTGGCATCAATTACTATAGAGATGCCCCAGCGTGAAAGTTGAAGATTAGGCAGAGGTCCTCTACCAGGCAGGACAAGAGCTCATGATCTATTCTTCTTGTCAAAGAGCAGAGATCCTTGGGAAGTATTTCTTCCCCTTCTCTGGGAGCTATGGGCACATCTTGACTGCAGTAGAAATTGATATACAGGATATTTGCATTTCTGAGCTGTGTTTGGACATGACATGCAAGCAAGATGCTTGTTGAACATTAGAAGCGTACACAGTTTGTGAATCTTTACCTTTAGCCAGGGATTTGGATGTTGGACAGTTGACGTGTCATTTCAAGATACTATGCAGGCATGAAGATAACTCCTTAAGTTCTGATTCAGATTTAAATTTCCTTTACAACTGCAAAAAATAAGCGCATTTCCCCCAAAGACAAGTAAAATGAAAAATCCTCTCAAGAGCTCAGATGATCAAGGAAAATTTTGCTGAATACAGTCAACAGCTAAACATAGAATATTCTACACCTTAAAGACTGAGTCAGATACAACTGACTCACCATTCCCTCCTCTTACTATTTCTTCAGCTCCATCAAAACACCAGCTAAAAACCTGGGCACCTTGCCTAATTTCTAAAAAAGTAGCTAGAATTTCACACCTTGCTGTTTTCTCACAATAGCCATCTCCCCAAATCCCTCCTATTTCAGTTCATCAAGTTGCAGCATTTCACCTCAGAACATCAGAGCTCTATACTACCCAAGATCTCTATGCTCTGGTCGTGACCTGCCCTTCCATTCACTATTGGGCTCTCCAATACCTCACTCCTGCAGTCTTCGTTGCCAAGTCACTTACATGAAATGCATTTTGAAGGAAGAAAGAGGAAATAAACAAGTAGAGTTTCCCTTTGCTCTCAGAGCCTCCCGGCCGTTCCCAGTTGCAGAGGATTTCATGCAGCACTGAGTCAAACACTACTTAGAACATTAACTTACAGCCACAAGAAAATCCACTCATGTGCGTCGGGATATTGACCTCTTTGCAAGTCTAGCACCATCTGTGTAAAAATGGTTTTCAAACATTTTGTTTTCTGTTCTTGTCCTCCAAGTCACTTAAAGCTGCTGATGCCCCTTCCTCATTCGCTGTGTTAATGCTTCTGTGGTACCACTTCTCGTGGTATCATAAAAAAACCAAACCCCAAAAGCTAAATAATGCATATGGTAGAATCAGCCTCATGTTCTTCCTACCAAAAGATCACTTCTCCCCTGCATGTATCTCACCATCCACACTTGTGAAACATCATTCAGTCTTGAACATGACGGGAAATTTTCAGCCTTCTACAGGTCACACTTGAAATTCAACTGCAGAATTAGCACAAAAGCATTCTGCATCGCTAGCTAAATTCAGGCATCTCTTTCAACTACTACTTCCAGATCTCTGATAAGGTGAAAACAGATGATGATTTAGAAAGCATAATTTCCAAAGGTACAGTTGATCCTGGTGCAAGAATACAAGTTCTGTAGGGCAGAGGTATGTATCAAATCCTACTAAAAAAGTAGTTATAGTTTTTTCTGCAATAAGTACACATTTCTGGAGTGGTCTGTGACATTGAATTGTGAGACCAGAGTTTGGAGTCTGCTATGTAACAGCAAGTACTGAATAAATTTTTTAGCACATTCTCAATAACTTCTCTCTACTGTGAGTATTTCCTTGCAGGGATTCTATTAATCTCCTTTTATTATTCTCATGCAAGATTTAGCAAGTAAACACTGAATTGACGTGCTTTGGAACTGTATGAGTAATTTCCTAGAGTACTACAGAACACGAAGGCACAAAGTATTTTGTGAGAGTAGTTTTGCTTTCCCAAACAAATGAAACCTCTCTGAATTGACGATGTAAATAATTCAGCATTATTCTGTTTACTAAATTGGGAAGAACTGAGGCACAGTGTTCATCTTTAAGAGAGCAATGTGTTTTGCAACAGAGAGATGATCCCACTAATGGAAAAGTCTCACAGAACAGCTCCAATTCATGCATTGCATTTGTGTGAAAAATGTTGATCCTGTCAAAAGGAGCACTCAAAACTGGGGGGAAAAAAAATTCTCATCTGTATGTTTCATTATTCATTGACTGATATTTTAAAATGTAGCAACAATAAACCAGACAGGGCCTCCTAAGCCCTTCACTGCTTTGAAAACCTCCTGCTTTCCTAAAGTCATTTAACTGACACATCAGTTCCAGGAGGCAGTTTACGAACAGAAGCTGCACAGCAGATACACCAGTGTGTGTGTGTCATAACCTTGCTCACAGGTCCCTACTAAAGAGAACCTTCTAAAATAATGAAGGATCAATAAAATGCTCCAAAGAAGACTGTATTTTCATCTGAAAAAGCAGATGGTGCTACACAGTATAAAATGTCCACCGGGTAGTGGTCATTAAGTGCTTGTACCCCAGGACTGCGATGACAGGAAAAGGTAAATGTCAAAACAGAGAGTGGGTGCAAGCCAACAATATAAACATGAACAGCAAACCAAAAATACATTTGTTCTGATATGATCATCTGGCTCTAAAAACCTCACAGAACAGACAGGCCTGTATTGTTTAAGAAAATGTCAGATAGCACAGGAACTCCAAAACGAAGGAGAATTTTGCAGCAGGAATGTGATGGTTAGCAAAATCCTCCCATGCCGCAATATCATCACGTGCCTGTCTTTGCTACCAGGTGTAGCGTGTGTGGGTGGGGGTGCCTTCAAACATAAATTACCAATAAACACGCATTGTATTTAGTGTCAGGGAATTAATTGAGCTTTCCGGAATGAAAGCCTTTTGGCACAAAAATGATAAACCGAGGTTGACCTACCTGAATGGGTCCCACTGACATCAGCAGGTTTTTCAGTTGGACATCAGTAGTTGATGAAGAAAGCCCTTCAACTGACACAATACAGGGCTGAGGTTTGCACTCCACCACTCGCAGGTTCTGTTTATTTGGCATCAAGCGTCCTCGGCCCATCTGGCCTGCTACTCCTCTGCCTCTGCCGTGCATAATGACCTGCCAACAACAAAAGTAACAGTATTTTGATTTACTTACCTAGTGATTCTGCTTACTGCATTTGACAGGTGATGTAGAAGTTGGCAATTTACTTAAAGACTTGATTAAAGTACACGTTGATTTTAAACAGCTTGTTGCTGTTCGCTGATTTGAAAGGCCACTTATTAACATATCCATCCACTGCTTATACAAACCTCTTTCAGAAGGGCAGCAAGTTTTTATATTGAGTTATATATATTGCATTCAGACTAAAAGCCTCAGATCTAGCAAAGACTGATCAACTAAACAGTGGAAGATCTCAGGCAAAAACATATAACCTAGTTTTCAACACTGACCACATTAGCAGCGTGTGTTCAGCTCCTATATTTTGAATCTGAACAACAAAAAGAAGTTGATCCCTCTCCTTTTTCTCTTCTCAACCCACAGGTAAATTTAATGTACTCACAAGATCAGCAAACTGCTTCAAGCACCTCCAGTCTGTACTGCTACTAACTCTTGATCTGTTCTAAGAATGGAGAAACGGCTAAATAAAATAACTTTTTTCAAAGTTCCTCTCCCCCAAATCCTGTAGGATCTGGCACCACAGCATACTCTGGAGCAGGAAATGTATTGATTTAATTCTTGCAAATTAAATATTGAACAGTTGGAGAGAGGAGAAATAACAATGAAACATGAGTAACAAACATTACACAGAGTTAACACTTAACACTGAGTCGAACACAACACAGTTTCTTGATTCCCACTTGGAAAACCTATGAAAGGTAATGACTTTTCACATTCTTCTCCATCAGCAAGGAAACTTTATCCTTACATGAAGCAGGAAGATTACGGCCAACAGTTCAAAACCAAGAACTAACTTGAAAGTCAAAATACCAGCTATGTTCAAGGCACGTGCCAGCTTGCAAATGCAGAGAAGGCATAAACTGCTGCCACCCTGACCCTTCCCTGCCTCCTCCCAGTGCACAATCACTGCAAAACATCACGTTACAAGATCACCAACTATTTTGAGTGATACCAACTTCTGGGATCCAAAAAGAACATCCTGAAACAGTCACTGTGTGCTCCCTACATATGCAGGAAAACAGCCAGAATAAAAGCTTAAACACAACTTTAAAAAACCACTTGGTTTTAAAGCCAGAAAGCACGCTGGATACCACCTCCTACTGTAGCTATCTCGGGACACATGCATTTCCCCAGGGAGTGCTGTGCTGGCCAGAACGTCAGCAGATGAAGAAACCTGCAGGCACCACCAGTCTGTGCTGGGTACAAACAAGTCTCTCCAGATTTAAAAGCTTTATATGCAATTATGCATCTCCTGGGTCATGCAGCCCTGCACCAGCAACTGACAAACAGAATGTAGTTATTAATAGAGCAACACAGCTACACAGTGAAACTTCCGCAGCAATACGCATCTAAAAATCACCTTTTTAGGTTGATGGATTCCCTGGATGTTTTTGACTCCTTGAGGAGCTGGTGAATGGATCTGTGCCTGCTGCTGCTGTTGGTGCTGCTGCATTCCCTTTGTCAAAGTGACCTTCCGCACTGGCTGCTGTTTGGGCTCCGGGGGTTGTTGAGGCCGCTGGGTCTGGCCCTCTGGGTGAAAAAAGCCAGCATCCTCTCCCCCCTGCTGAAATCAACAACACAACAGCGGCTCAATGTCCAGGCACTGCACACCCTCACCCTGAGCAGCCTCCTGCCACATCCAGCTCACTCAAGAGTATCCAGGGCTTTGCCAGCTAAAGCAAACCAGTGGCCACAGCAGGAACGTGCAAGGGCTCAGCCTGGAAATTGCACTTCAGCCTAAAATTAATCCACGGTACCTGAAGAACAGTTTACTTTGTTCAGACTTTATTATAATTACAACGTTCAATAATGTCTTTTCATATACAAAGTGGCAAGATGTTTTAACTTTTCTTTCCAAATCATTCTTCCTCCCAGGGTTACATGAGAACTACAGTATGTGTTCTTTTTTTATTACTTTTGGTTTTACTATAGGGACATACACATTGCAGAAGAAAGAGGAAAGAACTCTGAAGGTTGGAAGAGTCAGGTAAATACTCTGCTCATCTTTAAAACTCCAACCTCTCTTCAGTTAAAAACTAGCATTTATTTGGAAGTGCATACTCATTCTGCCAACTTCTATACCAGCAGCTTTGTAAGCAGTCTCCTTCCTCAAACACGGTCTGTACTAGGGACAGTTCCTCAAGGGTTTGCTCTATTGTTTTTGTCTTATGAAGTTCTTATTATATTTATAATCACAAGCACAATGAAACACCATCTCAGTGCTTCTCTCATCCAATGTAGCTCTTTCTGTTACATCTCTCAGTGCAATCAAGCACAATAACAGCATAAACTGAAAGCACCGAAATTATTCCCTTCCATTGCCTCTATCTGAACAGTTTGGTTTCTTCTACAAACAGAATTTGTGTCTGGCTCTCCAGATCAGATCAATCACTGAAAAACATTTCATGGTGCAAGAGACAGCAGATCAGACACTTTTGCATATTACTGCATGGTTTCAACAGCAGTTTCTATCCCTTGACTGGATTCCAACTTCAGAACTTAAATACTAGTGAACATTTTATCCACAGGGTGAAGGCTTTGCCTACGTCCCAAACCAACCCCTGGTAACCCTGCAAAAGCTCTCAAATAAAAGGCATATCTAGGGAAAAAGGTAAAATACTATGAAAGCATCTTTACTTATACAGGCTTTTTTCCCCGCTTCCTTAACAATTCATAAGCCAAATCTGCTTTTGCATCTGTAACACAAGTCACAAAGCAGAGGATTTCATATTGGCACATTTCTTGTGAATAAGGAGACAAAATACAGGTGAGCAGAAGGAACAGGCTTATGGTCCAATAACAAGATTATCTCCACTGAGAATACAAATCTTTACCTCTCAGCATGAAAGAAAAGCAAATAAACACTTACTAAAAGGGACTAGTTACTAAGTCCCTTCACTATCATTTGATAAGAAACAATCTGGTACAGATGGTACATAGGACAGTCTCATGTTTTCAAGTTCACTAGTTCAAAATTCACCCCCCTAAATCAAGGCCTCTGTTTTATAAAGTACATGCAGGCTACAACATCTCAAGAATTCAATTACATAAATCCCAGACAAATGAGCCTCATACCCCCTTGCACCATCTACACTTCAAAAGCACAGTCATAGGGAAAATCCTGAACCTTGTCCTGGTTTTTGTCCACAGTGTCCAAAGTGAGAAAGCCATAGAAATCTGCACGTCTTCCCCACCTCTAATGAAACACAGGGGTTTTTTCTCTGCTAGACTGGATGGTTCCTTGTCTTCACAGAACATTTTGTATATAAACTTTGGACAGCAGCAACTAGTGAGAAATTATAAAGCTTTCCCTTCAGACTTTCTCTTTAATTACTATTCAGATAAGCAAAAGCAAGAGCCCTCTTGAAAAACTCAAACATATGCACAAAACCTACCAGGAAACCAGCATTAAATCCTCCTCATTTTAATATTAGTTTCAATATCAGCATCACCATAAGCGCTGCGCCCTGATCAGATAATTTCTTTTATTCAACCCTACAGCAGCTGCAAGATGATGAAACTAAAAGGAACAAAAAAATTCTAGGAGGAATTTAAACACAATAACTGGGAGTTAAAAATCTAATCTCTGCTAAATGCCTGCTGTGAAAATCATAAATATTTGCAACCATTTCTTTCCAAACGAAAAAGTGATCCCAGCACATCGGAAGAGCATCTGAGAGCCAAGCCCTCAGGTACAGAACACACTGAACATGCTCATTACCGAAACTTCAAAAGCAAACAATCATTTCACATAAAAGCCTAGGACAGCCAGCAACCACCCAATATTTAACTACCAAGCTCAATTATCACCAAATAAAACTAAAACACAGAACTGTGTAACAGAGTCAAAGGCATCAGCACACAACTGGTTCGAACTGATGAAAAATCTGATGGGGTTTGTTCCCTGCTGAGGTCCCAAATGCCACCTCTGGGCTTCACTGCTGACAAGACATTCCTGCAAAAGCCTGAAATGGTAGAAAGATCTCCGAGCTTTGTAATGAATTAATGCATTTCAGAAATAAGAAAAACCTACACAAAACAATTAAGAAAGGGGATGGAACGAGATCTGCTTGTTCCTGCAACAAGAAGGAAGGAAAGGGAATTGGATCAACCCCTTTCTTTATACTACTATTCTGAACATTTACTGGTTTTGAGATGACTTGAAGATGGGAAGCAGAGATGAAACTGCAGCACTGCTTCTCAAGAGAGCCACTTGGTACTCAAGGACTAACAGAGCTTCCTCCAAATCAGCAATACATTGCTTTCTGTTACAGGCAGCCTGGCCTCAACAGGAGACAAAACCTGGCAGTTTTCTTAAGAAAATAAAAATCAAACGTGACTGCCAAGTGACATGTGCCTAACTAGCAAAATGACACAGCCTCAGAAGATGTATTTTAGCAGCAACTCCTTTTTCACTGGTTAAAGATGTGACAGTACAAGGACAAGCACTGAGCCAAAATGAGTAACCTCTGCAGTACCACAGAGTGGCAAACTAGACTCACCACCACCATTGTCCTTTAATCTTTGATGCAAGACAACAAATGGCTTCTTCAGACACATCAATGAAGAACCAAGTCAAGCAAAACACCTGCAAAGAGCTTTTAACATCTGGACTTAAAGCTACAAAACCTCAGAGCAATACTGACAGGTCACATGCTCACAGAACATCGACATTTTGGAGGAAAGGACACACAATTATAACGATGACTCTACATATGCTGACTCCTGATGTTCACTCATGAGCTACACAATAAGCTGGCACCAACACAGCAAAGCTACAGGCAAGCAGGTAAGTCCACTGCAGCTGTATTGCAGCACCTGCCCCAAATGACACTTAAATCACAGAAGCCAAATTGCTAATAACTCTTCTACTCCAAATGTCTCCGTTCTAACTCATCCGGAATCAACTTTTGCCTTTCATAAAGACAATTTCTGTATTGTTAATTTTTCATCAGCTTATAGCACTGCCCTCCTAACGTTTAAATATGTAGCAACAGAAGGAAGTATTAAAATTTTAAGCCTTTTCACGTCAAAATATATTTTATGTGATTTCTTTCCTTTAGTATTTTGTAATGTACAGGGCAGCACTAAATTTTTCAGAGATGCATCTACTCATCATCATGGTCTGTCTCATATAATTTGATGCACAAAGTGCTGAAAGCAGGTAAAATACCATAGTCCATCACAGATACTTGTGACTGATTGATACAAGCTCTGATTTTATACTTCAAATTTCCTCTGACGTCCTCTGCATAAAAGTGAATTTCCATTCTTTGTCTGCAAACCAATGAAGGAAGAATTTTTTTCTTATTGTCTACTCCTTAATTTCTATATTATAAATAATTCTGACCTTCGAGTTCTGAATTTTCAAGTTTTGCAAAAGGTCTGCCTTCACAGAATATGCTAAGTTGGAAGGGACCCACAGGTATCATCTACTATCTAACCAGGAAAGAGTTTTCCTGAATGAAACTTTACCATTATTTAGTTAATTCTGGAGGAATGAAAATGCTTTTTCTTGAGTTGCAGGAGTTCTGCTCAGGTGAGAGTATAAAAAGTATCTTTCAAACTTCAAGTACAGGAAGATTGCTAGCAGTGCCAAAACAAGATAATTTCAAATGCTGTGTGTAAGTAAAAAATCCTCAGAAGATGGAGGCAGATGGATTCAATCTACATGTGAATGTTTTTCAAACTTCTACTGTGTAAGAGTCTGCACAGTTTGACTTTCTGAAATTGGACTAAAAAAAAGAAAAAAATTATGCCATTTAATGGCCATGAATTTAGAACTAAGTCCCTGATACCTATCAAGGCTGGTTTTCAACAGTCTCTCATTATATATATCTATATATAGTCAATGTTGTGTTTTGAGAAACATAGAATTCTGTCAAACATGAGATCACAAATTCTATAAGCAGAACTTTATGAGGGACTGCTTAAATTTAGCAAGCTGAACTCCTCCACTCTATCACTACCATTATGACAGTTTTATGATGAAGATGAAGTTTATTTGCCACCAACATTAGCAGGACAAATTTATTTATAACAAATGCTTTAAAATGTACTGATAAAAATGCCTATTGATACTGTCAGAGCTGCTTGGAATTTGACAGATCAAATCTTATTTTCATTCTTAAACCCCATGAAGGAATGGTATCACCAACTTGCATTCTGTAGTGAGCAAATTGATTAATCCCCCTCTATAGAAATCTCAACTCTTGATTACACCTATCAGACGTTAAGCAGCATTATTCTAGAGTGACAACACTTGACAAATTCCCAAACCATTTTTCTCAGCCTTTGTGGCCCTGCTAGCTTGCATTAACCCTGATGAAAAATTAATTTTCCTTATCTTCTGCTAAACCCCAAAATCCAAATCCGCCAAACTGGCAACTCTTTCTGTAAAGGTATTATGAAAACCTCTAAAAGATTAATTGCATGTCTTCAGGTGACATTAAATTAATTTCTGTACTCGTGACAGACATTTGATACTCCGTACTGAGAGGACAGATAACATTGTCAGGATACACAGAAGGACAGTGGTGCAGTGTCCCAGGGCAGCCTCTTATG